TCGAACAAGAAACTGCAGACAGATGTAGTTTATGACAGAAAATCAAAACAATTCGAATAGAAACCAAAAGGAAACCACGATAAAAGTACTAAAACTAAATTCCATAAACATACAAGTCGACATAATCGAAAACAGGTTCTAAAGTACTCATACCTCAAAACTTAGGACTGCCAAAAATCTCCACAACCAAACAGCAGCTTAAAATCAAATCTGATCACGAAACGAAGAATATAGGGTTTAGCATTGAACGCCACAAGATCGCGCCGCAAAATCGAGCCACAAAACTGAGCTCGAAATACCCGAACTAAAGAGAACAGAAATCACCCAAAACTGACAGTCATTCAGCATGAAAATCGAACGAAAACGTAGCAGAAAAAGGAAGACAGAAAAACGAAGAAAATAAAAGCAAAACCTACAAGAAAATTGAGCTCCAATGGCAGAACCCAGCTCTGAAACGAAGAAGAAAACGAACGAAAGAGAAGAACTCGCGCGTCGTTTAAACGTTGAGAGGCAAAAGCGTCATTTAATTTGTAGGTTTACAGATGGGCCAGGCTTTTTAAGAGAAAAGGGTAGAATTGTCTTTTTATTTGACATTTTTAAGCTGGCCCAACGAATCTGGGCCAGCCTTGGGCCTAATCTAAAATAGCTATTTTTTATTGAGTATTAAAACCCAAACTAAAATACCTAATATCTCACTTCCTAATTAGTAAACTTAATTATGTCTAATACCTAATTTTCCTTGAAAACTAATATATTATTGTAATCCTGACAACTACACCCACTCAGGTATGTAGGAGTACCTCATTTTGCGAACGATGCAATCTCAAACAGAAACAATAGGCGACAATAGAAGGGAAAATTGATATGCACTCACACATCCACCCCTTGGCATCATTCTTCCTAATTTCCCACATCCTTTGCATTTACCCATCTGAAGCATACTAAAAGAACTGATCATCAAATACCAATTGTCGAAGCAATAATCAAAATCTGTCCCAAACAGCTCACATGGCCTTCACTGCTGCAGAGAAAGTAAAGAGTCATGATTGAAACCAAAACTTCTACCCTAGTACACATGTTTAGATGCACACAAAAGTATAGATATATGACCTATGAGAAACAGGTACACACACATGCTGTAAAACGCAGGCAACATATATCATGGATAACTCCCTTAATATAGTTGTCATAATTTAAAGTGAAGTCAAACTTCCCAGGAAAGAGACCTATCTAACCTAAAATTAGATCTAAATAACATCACCTGAGACCTCACAATCAAGCTAGATAAAAAAAATCTTCAAAAATTATTGAATTAACAATCCTTTAAAAGACGTGTACGATATCCATCTAATCCTTGCTAGTGACAAAGCTCTGAACCCAGAGTAGGCAAAGGGTTCGCAAAAACAAGAGATACCCAGTGAGTCAACTCGAAACACAGCTTCAATTATGAATTACCAAGGTCCTGAGCAAATCTAAACCAATCCAATCTTCCATTATATTGGTGAGATGATGGAATAAGACCAAACCGATGAATAATTTAACACTCAATTCAATAACTGGGGAGCTAAAGAACAAAATCACAAAACAGAGGCCAAATTTCAGACCATCAATTGAACTTTCACTCAATTTTCTCTTCATCCAAACAGATGGTGGTATCTAATTTGTTCAAATCCGCACTTCACCAAATAGATCCGCACAAAAAAACAACATAGTTACAACAATTCATCACAAATCCATACGTACAATCGTGTGATCTATATATCAGTTCCGATACAGAAACATCAAATTCTAACAGTATTAACCACTTCCATAAAAATCAGATCCAAAAACCCATTAATCTAGAAACATAAATCGAAACCAAATATCAACAATTAAATGCAAATATAGATACACGAAATTAAAGTCGATTTTTGGGTTTATTTTGGATGTGTTTCTATGTATTAAATAGTGTAGGGTATATTTATAGTTTCATGTCTAGGAATGAGTTTTTCACTAATTTTGTAGATAAAAAATGTGGTAAGTGTAGCATTACTCTTCAAATATACAAAGATTTGAATTAATGAGTTCAAATTCAATGGGTTGCAATCCCCTGTTCTAGCCCTGTATTTTCTTTGTGATCACCAGCCATAATTTACATAAAAAACTGTTACTCAATCGTTAATGTCAATATCCAATATTTTTATAACATCTGTATTCATTTATTTATTTTTATATGAAACCAATTGTGCAGAGTTGTGAAGTTAATATTAATTATAATCGGCAAGTTTCATCGGTCTTAACTACACATTGGGACCTCTGTCCATCAAGAAAGGACACAAATACGGCACAGGGTTCGGAATGAGGAGAGATCCCCCAACAAAAGACAAATGCAGAACAAGGATCTTAAAAACAAACACATACAAAACCCAATGACCAGAACAACAAGAAGCTAAAGAACAAACACACGCGTCAGGAGGTAATTAACAACCTCAACATCAGAGGTTAAGGACAACTTTATCTGTCAGAAAAGAGATCCATATATACTTTAATACTTAGTAAATAACTAAGTGAAAGAGGAAGGAAGAAGGTAGAAGACCAATTCATTAGTGCAGTATGCAATTGCTCCTTCATATGACCATTTTCTTGTTATGGCGCATAAGCACACCAGAAGCAGAACCAGATCAATTAGGGCCAATAGCAAAGCCTAGTTGCGAAACGCATTGCGGAGATGTTAGCATCCCGTACCCTTTTGGGATTGGACCTAGCAGCAGCTGTTACATGTACGATTGGTTTGAAATACACTGCGACAACTCTACCAGCCCTCACAAGCCTTTCTTGAGGGCTGCCAAGCTTGAGGTGCTGAACATCTCTATTGAAGGCACGCTTCTGGTTAAGAACCCTGTTACTTTCTTTTTCAACGGAAGAAAGACCCCCCAAGCACCGAATTTGATGGGAAGCCCTTTCTTATACTCTCAGAAATACAACCGGTTCACAGCAGTGAGTTGTGGCTTCTTTGCCTTGGTAAGGTCATACCATGACCAGCGTGTTGTTGGCGGCTGCATGTCAACTTGTGATAAGAGTGCTGAAACTGCACACAACCATGGATGCATAGGCATTAACTGCTGCCAGACTACCCTTCCCCAAAATCTCAGCGTGATTGAGACTGAGATAAAATCTGAATCTGAAGAAAGTTCTACTAGTGGAAATGACCGAATGTTGGCTCCTTACAACTATGCATTCCTTGTGGAGCACGATTGGTTTCAGAACAATTTATCGAATTTTAGAGACGTCAAGGACATGGACAGCGTTCCGGTTGTGCTTGAATGGAGCTTGAGCTTGGCGAACATGAATAGTTCGTTAATCAAATTATTTGAAAGGTTCATTACAAACACATCAGAGCGATATCTCAGTCTCATAGTATTTTCCCAAACCTCGATGCCCTATTGCAGCATACATAATGTCACTTCTTCCACATACAATCAGTCAAGGCTTCAATGTTTTTGTCCCCCCGGCTTTCAAGGTAGTCCCTATCTTCTCCAACCCTGTCAAGGTAACTACACCTCTTCCATTGTCCAAAGCAAGCTATGAACATGTATATCCTTATCTTTCATGTTGGAATTAGCGGCATCAATCGAAACTCACCATGCATCATGTCCATTCTTTCTGTTTCTGTTATTTTATTTCAGATATAGATGAATGCAAGGCCCCTAATATGTGTCTGGCTCATGGTCGTTCTAATATCGGCAAGTTGAATTTTGGTGGACCTACTACATGTGAGAATTTTGCTGGGGGTCATACATGCTACTCAAATACAACTGGTGTTGCATGTGACTATTATGGTACAGGGTTTGTTTTGTGCTACTTATATGGCAAAAGGAGATGGCTGCTTCAGACCTCTCGAATCAAAACCATCCTTCTAGGTATGGTCATATATTTCCCTTCATTTCTCAGCAATTTTTAAAATAGATGTTAAAACACTTTATCTGTTTCAAGGGCTCGTTGAAGAGGTGGAAACCATTTGTAGGTGAGTTTTTCAACTGCATTATATGTTGAATAGTTTTATCCATTTATAATTTCAAAGTGTATTTGTATATGCAGGTCTTGGCATGGGTCTTGGATTGTTGTTACTATTTCTTGGTGCGTGGTATGGTGCATGGCATGTATATAAAGTCATAAAGAAAAGGAAAGACATCAAGCGCAAGGAAATATTTTTCAAACGAAATGGTGGTTTGCTGCTAGAAAAACAATTATTGTCAGGTGAACACAACGTTGAGAAAGTCAAGTTGTTCAAGTCGAAGGAGTTGGAGAAGTCCACTGACAATTTTAACATTAATAGAATTCTCGGCCAGGGAGCCCAAGGAACTGTTTACAAAGGCATGTTGACAGATGGAAGAATCGTTGCTGTGAAAAAGTCTAAAATAGTGGATGAAGGCAAACTTTCGGAATTTATCAATGAGGTTGTGATTCTTTCACAAATCAACCACAGGAATGTGGTTAAAATATTGGGATGTTGTTTGGAGACTGAAGTTCCTATTTTGGTCTATGAATTCATACCTAATGGAACGCTTTCTCAGTATATCCAAGGGAAAATTGAGGAATGTTCACTTACATGGAAAATGCGCATACGAATTGCGACAGAAATTGCTGGAGCTCTTTTCTACTTACATGGTGCAGCCTCCTTTCCAATTTTTCATAGAGACATCAAATCTTCCAATATACTCTTAGATGAGAAATACAGAGCGAAAGTTGCTGATTTTGGAACTTCACGATCAATTGCCACCGACCAAACTCACTTAACAACACTTGTAAATGGCACGTTTGGTTACTTGGACCCGGAATACTTCCAATCAAACCGATTTACGGAGAAAAGTGATGTGTATAGCTTTGGAGTTGTCCTTGTTGAGCTCTTAACAGGACAAAACCCAATTTTTGCAATAGCAGGGTCACAAGAAGAAGACTACACAAGTCTTGCTACATACTTCATCACATCAATGCAAGAAAATCGTCTATTTGACGTTGTTGATGCTCGAGTTTTGAAGGAAGGATCAGAAACAGAGATCAGATCATTTGCTAACCTTGCAAGAATGTGCCTAAATTTGAATGGGAGGAATCGTCCTACAATGAGAGAGGTTACAGCCGAGTTGGAGGCCCTCCAAATCTCCCAAAAAAACTTCTAATATTCATGAACCAAATTATAAATACATATAGTTTGAGTATTAGGATGCGTTTTGAAATCAACATGGTCAGCTTCGGATGGCGGTCCAATTTCATAATTTCATCAACAGATTTCCAACAAGCAAGAATCCAGAGCCGGTGAGAATGTGGTATGATCGCCTAAGAACTGCACCTGGGCTTCCACAAGTGTCTTCAGGTGTTGGTGTACAAAATATTTCTTGTATTGGAAATTTGATTCAATATTGTAGACAATTACATCATATTTTGGACCCTATATTCTGTAATGTACTTCTATTAAGTAATGAATCTCAAAGAAATAAACAAGAAGGAAAAACAAAATTGGTTTCTTTTTGGCTTAATCAGCAACAATTCAGAGACTGAAAATTAGGAAGAACTCCAATGGAATAGTACATCTTTATCTCCAAATATACCATGAGTTGGGGCTTTAGAATTCTTGAACTTCCCTCCACTTTTGTTTTTTGGCCAAACCTTGAGGAGGGTTCTGTTTTAGCCCATCTTTTTGCGTCTGTTGGCATATCTTTTTCCTCTTTAAGTTCAAAGAAATTAAACAAAACCTTAAATTTCTTCAAATTTGGTTTGTCAGGACTTATTGGACATACAGCCTAGGCTCAAAACAAACAGACAAAAGAACAACAAGAAGCTAAAAACAAAGACACTCAAAACAAGCCAATGACCAGAAGACCAAGAAGGTAAAAAACAGAACACACAGTTGGAAGGCTGCAAACCTTCTCAACAAAAAGGCTCCATCGGACCACATATACTTCTTACTCAGCAAACAAGTAAGAGAAAAGAGAAAGAAGATAGAAGTCGAATTGATGATTGCAATATGCAATTTCTTCTTCATATGATCATCTTGTTGTTATGGCTCATTGTTGAAGTTTTTGGAATGGAGGTTTACTTGGAGAAGAAGAAGAATATGAAAAATATTGCAGAGAAAAGAGAGAGACGTTGTAAGAGAGAGAGAGAGAGAGAGAGAGAGAGAGAGAGAGAGAGTTTGTTACTCAGCTCCAATCATAAGAATGCACACACTCTCATGCTGATTTCATTCTAACAGAAGCAATCCCTTTACAAGGCAGAGAATGTGATCTCAGCCATACAATTTGTGTCAGCAATATGAGCTGTACACTTGGCATAAGCTAGGACATATGATACCTTCACTCTAGGATTAAATCTAAGCCTTACACCCGTCTAGCTAAGAACTTAGGAAAATAATTTACATTTCAACACTCATAAGTCCAGCAGCAGCATCATCATCAGATCAATTAGCACCAATAGCAAAGCCTAGCTGCGAAAAGCATTGTGGAGATGTTACCATCCCATACCCTTTTGGGATTGGCCCTAGCAGCAATTGTTACTAGTACGATTGGTTTGAAATTGAGTGTGACTACACCACCATCCCACCCAGGCCTGTCTTGAGGCTTGCCAAGCTAGAGGTGCTCAGTATTTCTATTGATGGCACGCTTTGGGTTAACAACCCTGTTACTTTCTTCTATGGAGGAAAAGGAATTTGCAAAGTAGCGCCAAATTTGACGGGAAGCCCTTTTGTGTACTCAGAGAGATACAATAGACTCACTGCAGTAAGTTGTGGATTCTTTTTGGTGGTAAGGTCAGATGAGAATGTTGTTGGTGGGTGCATGTCAACTTGTGATAAGAATTATCATTCTAGACGCAATTATGGATGTATTGATATTAACTGTTGCCAGACTACCTTTCTGGCATATCTCACTGCCATCACCATTGAGTTGCAGGCTGAATACGAAGCAGCTACTGGTGGAAATGACCACATGGGAATGGGAACAGGGCCGTGAACGGGAATGGGAATGGATGACTACAACTATGCCTTCATTATCGAGCAAGAATGGTTTGAGAATACATTTTCGAATTTTACATATGTCAATGTCTAAGCTTAAGCTCCATTCTAGCACCACACCTGATGAAGTTTCTAGTAAGGGACCCCACACCCTATTGCAGAACATATGATGCCAATTATTCTATGAAATTCAATCATTCAAAGCTTAAATGTTTCTGTCTGCCTGGCTTTGAAGGAAGTCCGTATCTTCTCCAACCTTGTCAAGGTACTAAACCTCTTTCATATCCAAAGCTTCAACGTAAATGTTGCTTGCACAAATTTATTAGCTTTTTCAGATTGAATTTCCCAACCCTTTGGAGCCAGAAAAACTTCGGCGAGGCTCTTCTTGCCACGTGGTTGTGCAGAGTTGGTGATCAGAGGCTAATCAAAAAAGTGCATGCGTTCAAATTTAATGAACAATTTTTATCCTTTGAAGGCATGCCATTTTTTAACTGGACTGCTCCAATTCACATAGCAGATACATAAGCTCTGGTCCTTTGGAGCAGCATGCACCAAATAGTCAAATTCATTTCATAAGCTCTGGACTTGCAGACTTATTTGGATGCTTTTTTACTATATTTTTTTATTATTATTGTGTACTATATTTCTTAAGAAAGGTGAAAATCGTATATATGATCCTTATCATTAGCAAAAAAGAAAAAGAAAGATGAACATATGATCCCTATTTTCACATTTCAGATATAGATGAATGCAAGGGCCCTAATCCGTGTATGAGCGAGCTTGCTAATCCCACCACATGGAAATTTGGTTTCTGTACTACATGTGAGAATTTGGTTGGAGGTTATACATGCTACTCAAATAGAACAGGCTTTACATGCCAGTATTATAGTAGTATAACTGAAGCTCTATGCTACTCCCCTCCCAAAACCAGATGACCGCTTCGGATCGATCGGCCCTTTCCAATCCAAACCATTCTGTTTGGTACGTATGCTCTCCTATATATTCTCTCCATGGTTCATTTAACTTTTTCTATGTAAGTTTTTCAAAACAAAATTTTAAAGCAGATGTCAAAAACAGTATATCTCTCTCTCAGAGCTAGTTCTATACAAATGAGGCAAAAGTAATGCATGCATCATTAGTGTATGAGGAAATCATCACTATCATCTTGTCAATGCGTTAAACAAATATTGTTTACTTCATAATTAGAATTTGAACAAATAAAATGTATCCACTTTTCTTCAAGTTTAGCTTTTTATGAAGTTTGTGCTTAAAGAAGGCTTTGAAGAAAAAATTCCAATATATCACTTCATTGAGTTATATGTATGTATGCAGGTCCTGGCATGAGTCTTAGGCTGTTGTTACTCCTTATATATGTATACAAATGCAAAAAGAAAAGGAAAAAAATCAAACGCAGGGAAATGTTTTTCAAACGAAATGGTGGTTTTTTGTTAGAGCAACAATTATCGTCAAAAAGTTTCTACAGAAAATCAAGTTGTTCAAATCCAAAGAGTTAGAGAGGTCCACTGATAACTTTAAATTAACAGAATTCTTGGCCATGGAGGCCAAGGTACTGTTTACAAAGGCATGTTGGCAGATGGAAGAATCGTTGCTATAAAGAAGTCTAAAATAGTGGATGAAGGCAAACTTTCAGAATTCATTATTGAGGTTGTGATCCTTTCACAAATTAACCACAGGAATGTGGTTAAAATATTGGGATGTTGTTTGGAGACTGAAGTTCCTATTTTGGTTTATGAATTCATACCCAACGGAACCCTTGCTGAGTATATCCAAGGGCAAGTTGAGGAGTTTCCACTTACGTGGGAGATGCGGTTACGAATTGCCACAGAAATCGCGGGTGCACTTTCCTACTTGCATGGTGCAGCTTCCTTTCCCATTTTTCACAGAGACATCAAATCAACAAACATACTGTTGGATGAAAAATACAGAGCAAAAGTTGCTGATTTTGGAACTTCACGATCAGTTTCCGTTGACCAAACTCACGTGGCAACTTGTTAATGGTGCATTTGGTTACTTGGACCCGGAATACTTCCATTCAAATCGATTTACTGAGAAAAGTGATGTGTATAGCTTTGGAGTAGTCCTTGTTGAGCTCTTGACTGGACAAAAACCAGTTTGTGCAGTACTAAGGTCCCAAGAGGACAAATATAGAAGTCTTGCCACACATTTCATTATTTCGATGCAAGAAGATCGTCTATTTGACATTGTTGATCCTAGAATTTTGAAGGAGGGCTCTAAAAGAGGGATCAAAGTATTTGCTAGCCTTGCAGGAAGATGCCTAAATGCGAATGGGAGGAATCGTCCTACAATGAGAGAGAGTTGGAGGCCATCCAAAAGTCAGAAACAACTTATAACGGGGCTCAACCGAATTATGAAGGGGTGTAATTGGTTGAAAATGAATCACTTGAGCAGCAGAAGAATGTTGTTTTAAAACTCAACAAGGTCAACATGGTCAGGTTCGGATGTGTTGAGAGTATCCAAAAAAACTTCTAATAATATCATGAATACGTTTAGTAGGTCAAAATTGAATCATTTGTGAATTAGCTTTTCCAAAACAACAGGGCCAGCTTCTGATGGTGGTCCAATTTCATCATTTCTTCAACAGATTGTTCCATAAAGGTGATGGGGATCGACGTCAGGACACAGGTCACCAACCACATACACAAGTACCGAAATTTAGGACTAGTGCAAACTCACATATATCGTAGGAAATCCATGCCACAAATAAACTATTTCATTAATCATCAACATTGACTCCCCTACAACTATTACATTAGCCTTATTTATAGGCTTTACAAGACTTGGGCACCAAGGCTACTTGGTCCAAAAGTAAACTAATTAATTATAAAATCACATATAAATAATAAAAGATATCTTAAAACTACATAAATAAGAAAATAACAATATATCATGAAATAACTAATTAAATGGTAAATATATCTATCTTGATCCACCCCTATGCTCTCGCATCAAAAGGACCGTTGAAAATGACGTATATATGATCTCCTAAGGAGTGTAGCATGAACTTCCACAATCATCTTCAGGTGTTGGTGTCCCAAATATTTCTTGTATTGCTATTTCGGACTGTAATATTATGTACGTAATGTATATATCAAAAGAGCTCACATAAATAAAGAAGAGAAACCAAAAACTGGTTTCTTCTTGGGTTTATCAGCAAGGATTCAGAAGTAAACACGTGTAGACCAATTGAATTCTCAAAATTAGGAAGAACTCCAATCTTGCTTTTATAATTCTTGAACTTTCCTCCGCTTTTGTTTTTTGGCCAAACCTTGAGGAGGCATCTTTTTGCACTGGTACTAAAAGCATTTTTTTCCTAGTTACGGTTAGTTCAAAGAAACTAAAGAAACCTTAATTTTTTTTCAAAGAGTAAATTACTCAAATAGTCCTCAAATTTATACATGATTTATATTTTAGTCCCGCAATTAAATTATTCATTCAAATAGTCCATCAACTCCATATTATTCTCTCCAGTGGTCCTACCGTCTAATTTTCTGTTAGATTTAACCAAAGTTTAGGGTAAATAATGACAAATTTACCCTCATATTTAACGGAAATATTGACATAATATAACGGTAGGACCAATTGAGCAAATAATATAGAGTTGATGGATCATTTGAACGAATAATTTAATTGAGGGACCAAAATATAAATTGAGTATAAGTTTGAGGACCATTTGAGTAATTTACCCTTTTTTCAAATTTGGACCGTTTGTTAGGACTTATTGCAAATACAAAGCATGCTCAAAACAAAGCGACAAAAGAACAACAAGAAGCTAAAAACAAACACACTCAAAACAACCCAATGACCAGAACAACAAGAAACTAAAAAACAAAACACACACCAGGAGGCAGCAGACCTTCTGAACAAAAGGGCTCCATCGGAACCACATATACTTCTTACTTAGCAGATAAGTAAGAGAAAAGAGGAGGAAGATAGAAGTCTAATTGATGATTGCAATATGCAACCTCTCCTCCATATGATCATCTTGTTGTTATGGCGCACAAGTCGAGCAGCGGCATCATCATCAGATCAATTAGCACCAATAGCAAAGCCTAACTGCGAATCGCATTGCGGAGATGTTAGCATCCCATACCCTTTTGGGATTGGTCCCAGCAGCAATTGTTACTTGTACGATTGGTTTGAAATTGAGTGTGACAACTCCACCAGCCCTCCCAAGCCTTTCTTGAGGCTTGCCAAGCTAGAGGTGCTCGATATTTCTATTGATGGCATGCTTCGGGTTAACAACCCTGTTACTTTCCTCTACGGAGGAAGAGGAATTCGCAAAGTATTGCTAAATTTGACGGGAAGTCCTTTCGTGTACTCAAAGTACAATAGACTCACTGCAGTCAGTTGTGGCATCTTTTTGGCGGTAATGTCAGATGAGACTCTTGTTGGTGGGTGCATGTCAACTTGTGATAAGGATCATTCTCGTAGAGAGAATTACGGATGTATTGGTATTAACTGTTGCCAGACTACCCTTCCCTCAAACCTCAGTGTCATCACCATTGAGTTGCAGCCAGAATCTGAAATGGGAATGCGAATGCAAACACGAAGAGGAACGAGAATGGATGACTACAACTATGCCTTCATTGTTGACCAAGAATGGTTTGAGAATAACTCAGACGTCAAGGACAAGGGCAGCGTTCCTGTGGTGCTAGAATGGAGCTTAAGCTTAGACAATATGAATAGTTCGTCAGCCAAACTATATGAAGAATTCATTGTAAACACAAGAGAAAAAAATTTACGCAATCCTCTCAAGTCATTTGAAGGAAGCGACCCCACACCCTATTGCACAACATATGAGTCCAAATATTTTATGCAATCAACTTATGATAATCAATCAAGGCTTCAATGTTTTTGCCCGTTCGGCTTTGAAGGAAGTCCATATCTTCTCCAACCTTGTCAAGGTAATTCATTGATTATAAACATGTTCCACTATATATCCAAAGTTCAAATTAAACATGTTTGCACAAATTTATTAGCTTTTCTGGATCGAAGTTCCCCAGCCCTTTGGAGCCAGAAAGATTTCAGAGTGACTTTTCATGCCGCGTGGTTGTGCAGCCGATGGGCAAATTAAAAAAGTGCATGCCATTTTTTTAACTGGATTGTTCTGTCAATCTGCACTTCCAAGTGACAGGCACACGTGGATGTTTCTCTTTTGGAGTGGAATGCACCCAATAATGGATTCCATTTCGTTTCATCCTAGGACTTGCAGCTTATTCTGATAGTTTTTTTCCTATTATCTTTTTCACTAATTTTTTTCTTACTATATTTCTTAAGAAAAGTGAAAATGGATTACATGATCCTTATCAGTAGCCAAAAGAAAAAAGAAAAGAAAAGAAATATTTTTCATTTATGAACGAGTAAGCATCAGCAGTCACCATCATGGCCGGCCAATATTTGTCTTTCTGTTGTTTTCATTTCAGATATAGATGAATGCAAAGGCCCTATTAATCGGTGTGAGATTGATAATTTGGGTGTCACAAATACATGTGAGAATTATGTTGGAGGTCATAGATGCTACTCAATTGAAACTGGTATTGCATGTCAGTATTATGGTACAGCTGATGCTATATGCTTCTTCCCTCCCAGATGGTCGTTTCACTACTTTCCAATCCAAATCATTCTTCTTGGTACGTATGCTCTCCATGGTTCATTAACTCTTGCTATTTAAGCTTTTAAAAACAAATTTTTAAAGTAGATGTCAAAACCAAATTCTCTCTTTCAGAGCTGGTTCTATAAAAATGAGGCAGAAGACCTCTAAGAATTTCAACAAAGAAAATGTAGGCAGATGATATAAGTTTATGTTGCGCTTTTTAAAGTCTTAGATTTTTATGAAGTTTGTACTTAAAGCGCACTATTTTGGTTTCTAAGGTAAAAGTCCAATACATCACCTGATTGAGTTATATACGTATGCAGGTCTTGGCTTGATTCTTGGGCTTTTGCTCCTACTTATATATGTGTACAAACGTATACACAAAAGGAAAAAGATTAAACGCAAGGAAATGTTTTTCAAACGAAATGGTGGTTTATTGTTGGAGCAACAATTATCATCAAATAAAGGTAATGTAGAGAGAATCAAGTTGTTCAAATCCAAGGAGTTAGAGAGGTCCACCCATAATTTTAAAATTAATAGAATTCTCGGTCATGGAGGCCAAGGTACTGTTTACAAAGGCATGTTGGCAGATGGAAGACTCGTTGCTATAAAGAAGTCTAAAATAGTGGATGAAGGCAAACTTTCAGAATTCATTAATGAGGTTGTGATCCTTTCACAAATTAACCACAGGAATGTGGTTAAAATATTGGGATGTTGTTTGGAGACTGAAGTTCCTATTTTGGTTTATGAATTCATACCCAACGGAACCCTTGCTGAGTATATCCAAGGGCAAGTTGAGGAGGTTCCACTTACATGGGAGATGCGGTTACGAATTGCCACAGAAATTGCAGGAGCTCTTTCCTACTTACATGGTGCAGCTTCCTTTCCCATTTTCCACAGGGACATCAAATCAACAAACATACTTTTGGATGAAAAATACAGAGCAAAAGTTGCTGATTTTGGAACTTCACGATCAGTTTCCATTGACCAAACTCACCTGACAACACTTGTTAATGGTACATTTGGTTACTTGGACCCGGAATACTTCCATTCAAATCGATTTACAGATAAAAGTGATGTGTATAGCTTTGGAGTAGTCCTTGTTGAGCTCTTAACTGGACGAAAACCCGCCGTTTGTGCAGTAACAAGTTCAGAAGAAGATGAATATAGAAGTCTTGCCGCACATTTCATTATTTCGATGCAAGAAGATCGTCTATTTGATATTGTTGAGGCTCGAATTTTGAAGGAGGGCTCTAAAACAGGGATCAATGAGTTTGCTAACCTTGCAGGAAGATGCCTAAATGTGAATGGGAGGAATCGTCCTACAATGAGAGAGGTCACTACCGAGTTGGAGGCCATCCAAAAGTCAGAAACAACTTATAATGGTGCTCAACCGAACTATGAAAGGGTGTAATTTGTTGAAAATGAATCACTTGAGCAGCAGAAGAAAGTTGTTTCAATTCAACACGGTCAGGTTCGGACATGTTGATAGTATGGAAACTTGAGTTGCATTGGAGAATGGAAACTTTGCATTAGTGCTTAAAAAATATCTTGAGTTGGATGCTCGCATTCTATCTTCATCACTACTTGAACTTCCACAATTCTATATCTTCAGCTCTTCTTGTATTGCATATTTCATTCTATATACAAGTCCATGTTCTTTTAGAATACAATCTTCTGTAAAATGCATGTTGCTAGCAAAAAATGCTACTAGCTTTGAAGTTATGAAGCTCACACAAATAAACAAGAAGCCAAAATTTGGTTTCGTGTGGCTAAATCAGCATAGGAACTCAGAACTAAATGTTACGTAACAGAAGAACTTAAGGTAAGCAATGGTCTTTAGCTGCAACTATATCATCTTTGAGAGCAAATGCTAGCCTGATTAATGACTAGCTCATTGTCCTGTCTCGTGGACCGTTGGCTTAATATATTGTGACACTGATATGAGTCATACAAGTATATATATATATATATATATATATATATATATAAAGCTTCCATTGAGGATTTATATTGATATATTTTGATTTAAATAACATGTTTGAAAAGAAGAAGATTCGTGTATCTCAAATAGGTACTTTAAACGTACATTTGAATCCCCTGTTATAGGTCAAGTTTGGCAGCTACAATTTAAATTTTGCACATAATTTCCACACAAACTACTGTCAGAAAAATAAGGGATTTAATTCGTATATTCATGGAAAATCGGAAGTTAATTCATGCCAATATATACCAAATTAAATGCATAGAATAACTCAAACAATATAAGAGAAGTTTTAGAAAAACCAAAATATGGTTGAGTCTAAAACTTAATTCTATCTTTTTAAGACAAAATTGTCCCGTTAAAATATCAACCCCAGCCCATTAACACTTTATCAGCCCATTGATAAACAACCCAGCTCAGCCCATTTAGAGGAGCAATCTCTACAATATTCTAGAAGCACTAGAAGTTTAAAAACAAAGTGATAATGTCGGTTACCACTAGAAATATCTAGAATAAATATGAGATATATGTAGATCAAGTTAGGAGAAAACAGAAGTAGTGGCTGAAGTATAAAAGCCCAAGTCGGTGTATGCTTATTGCTCTCCTATTGCATGTGTATTGCTTGTATTTTACCTTTTTATTTACATTTGTATGTCTATTGCCGTCGTATCATATTTGTTTTGGAAGTCTGTCTTGGAAATAAAATTAGGGTGGTGCTAGAGGCACCAACTTTGGGCACCAATTTGGACACCAACTCTCTAATAGAGGTGGGGCCCACGCTCTGTTAGAGAGTTGGTGTCCAAAGTTGGTGCCTCTAGCATTTTCCATAAAATTATATAGTTGGGAGTATGGAGTTTTTTTGTTGCCCTGTTATTGTCATCGTATTACTATTTTATTGTTGTCATATCACCTTTTTTTTTTTCAAGTCTGCCTTGGAAAGTTTTTGCTGGGTTTCAAACAAATAAATGCTTCTATTTCAAATAAATATTTAACGATCATCAATGCCAGCCCAGCCATTTCAAGAACAAATATCATAAATTAGGTTCGCAAACCCGTTGGTTGTTCTTGCGGTGATGGTGTGGATGAGGAAGATGGGTCTTTGGACCTAGGAAAAGAAGAACATGGAGAATTGGGAATTAAGGCTAGGAATCAATGAGAGAGAGAGAGAGAGAGATAGAGAATATGCAAAATTGGGATTTCATCTCAGATAGAGCATATCAGAGAAGAGAAGAATAAGAAGTAAAGAAGAAGGCAATTTGGAGTGTCATCTCAGATAGAGCAGAGCATAGAAGAAGAAGAAAGCAAAATTTAGAGAGAGTAGAGATCAATTTCAGATGACAAAAAAAAGTGATAAAAAGGTGATACGGGATGAAAATGAGCTTTTATAGAGAATATTTTTTAATTAATTTCAAAAAGATGGCATTGTTTGAATAAAACATTGGAACTGGAGGCAAAGCCGTCTATTCCCAATTGCCTAGAGCATGCCACACACATGTGGCTAGGATTTATGGAGAAGCTAGCCAAAGTTGGTGAACTCTCCTATATTATAATGGTAGGTAACTTTATATAACCGATGCATGGCCTTTTATATTTGAGATATATACATGCTTCTCTTGCGCAAGTGCGTGGCATAAATGACATGAAGTAAAAACTCTATCAATTACTCAATGTGCTGCAGTATTTATACTACTAAAAGGACCCGTTTGGAGGGATTGTGTCTCATAATGAAAAGTCGAAGTGTTCCAACAACTACAAAAGAAAAGTACCTTACTCATTTGTGCCCGCTTATATTCAACCCAAGGCGCGTAGAAGTACCTTTCGTATGTATTAATCTATTTGGAAGTTATACGGTAATAATTTCGGAGAAAACAACTAGAGTGAGACAATCTGTGATGGCTTCTTGTGACCAAAACTTCCACAAAGCTCCCCATGCCTTCATTATTTTTCAATGTCATTTTACACTGGGAAAAGGTATGCAGTAAATAGGTTATTTTATATGGGGTTAATATTTGGCACAAGATCACGATAAGGTCACACTTCTAGCTAGCTATAAATCTAAAGAAAGAGAAGGAAACCTTAGGCCATCTCAAATCATGTTGGGGCTAAACTCAAATTTTCATTCTTCAAAATACAACTATTCATGTATTTTTAGGATTCAAATTTTTTTTTTCCTTCAACCTTGCAGATTCATAATTTGAGTCCGCAACTTTATTAGATTGTTTAAGAATGATTAACCCTTGATTTTTTTTTGTCATTAATTTTTCTTGACATTATTTTTGTTTCAACATTCGTGAATTAATTTTCTAAACATTTTAGTCTAAAAAAAATTAAAATTCCATAAACATAACATTTTTTTTCGCTTAAAATTAAAATGAGAATGATTGTAGAGTTTGAGAGTGGGATCTCATTTAGATAAATTAAAAATATTATTTTAACCATTTGATTTTATTTTTGATCATTGGATCTTCTTTTTCTCGTTAAAAATCAAGTTGAAAAAATATATGGGCTGTTTATATCTATTTGAGAAAGCTTGAAAAATGACAAAAAGTTGGTTCCCATTGCTTTACACGTGGCCAGCTTTTAAAGGCTCCAAAAGATTATATAAAGAATTAAAAAAAGAACAAGTAGATGCATAATTGGTTTTCAAAGGGAGCTGTTGGATTCCAACGTCCCTTTGATGTGAGCCTTCCACGTGTCCAACAAATTTGCTTTGTCTTGTCATTCCTTCATATGCTGCACAAGTTGGCTTCAACTTGGTGCCCACAGAAATTCCACCTGGATTGGAAAGTTGGGCCAAATTCCACCCAAGATTTCAGTTTCACCCAAATTACCACCCCTCATTATACATGGTTGGAGAAGATTTTTGGGGCTATAATCCTAAAATTTGAGTTTGATGACCCTCATGGTTGGAGATGGCCTTATAATATCTCCAAAATTTCCCTTGCAAACTCTTTACTAGCTAGCTAGCTACTCGTGCGATCAACAGATTGATTCAGAGACGAAGAAGAAGATATGAGAATTAATTTTTGAAAATTACGTTTAGAAAATCTAAAAAGTCAGAGATGGCAGCTGCTAATTGAGAATAAGAAAACCTTTATATATTAATGGGTAAGAGTTAAGTTAATCTAAAAAGTCAGAGATGGCAGCTGGTAGTTGAGAATAAGAAAAGCTTTATATATTAATGTAGTAGTTGGATGCTGTGTTTTTGTTTTCAACTATAAAAGAAATGTATGAGCTGCTGTGGTAAGGCAGATCGCACACACCCTACAATAAGAGAATGACAATACTGTTAGATCAACACATGATTTTCATTCTTCTCTTTTGCCTCTGGCACATAAGTATTGCACAAGCAGCATCAAGAGCAGAAGCCCCGCCCATAGCAATGCCTAATTGCACAACTCTATGCGGAGGTGTGAGCATCCCTTACCCTTTTGGCATTGGACCAAGCACCAATTGTTTCTTAAACGGGTGGTTTCAAATAGACTGCAACAAGTCTACTGGGCACAAGCCGTTCTTGCGGCGCGCCCAACTGGAGGTGCTGGACATTTCTATCAATGGCACGCTTCGCGTTAACAGCCCCATCACTTTTCTGTGCAACACCAAGAAGGGAAATTCAAGTCACCAACTGCTGGCAAATTTGACGGGAAGCTTCTTTGTGTTCTCTCAGAGGCACAACATATTCACTGCAGTGAGTTGCGGCTTCCTTGCCGTTGTGACAAGCTCAAATGACGATGATATGGTTGCTGTTGCCGATAAAATCATCGGTGGGTGCAGGTCCATTTGTGATAGCTTTCAGAAGGGTAGGTCAAACTATGATGGCTGCGATGGTATTAACTGTTGCCAAACTACAATTCCACCAAACCTCACTTCCGTCACCACTCACATTCTATATGCAAACGCATCGGCTATAGATTGTACGGACTACCCTCCAACAGACTATATCTATGAGAAAAATATTAACTATGCGTTCCTGGTTGACAGGGAATGGTTTGACAACACTTCATCAAGAGCCGTCCAGGCGATGGAGAAGGTCCCTGTGGTGCTAGAATGGGCCTTACAGTATGATAATAATGTAACCGATCTACTGTTCACTAGCTTCATTCATGGTGAAAGAAATCGTTCCAGGCGGCATGATCCAACACCTTATTGTGAGGTCGATGAAACTTCCACTTATTCTTTTTCACCACGGCATATGGCCGCATCGTTTTACTGTCACTGCCCGGAAGGCTTCGAAGGAAATCCCTATCTTCGACAATCTTGCCATGGTAAGATTTTCAAATCATTATAACATGCGCAATTCTAACTCATTTTTCCATCTCCTCGCCACTTGGGCTAACCCCAAGGGCTAACATGTACAAATTCTTTATGTTACAAACACACGCAGGACACATAACACGGGGAGTCGTTGCTTGCTTTTTATAAATGAATGAGATTCAAAATTATCTGGATATAAACAAATGAAATGTGGGGTTTAAAAAATTGAGATAAGATTTGGTGTATGTTAATTTTAACTCAATGTAAAAGTTAAATCACTATGGCCTTGAAAAAAGATAGTCTTACATCTAACAATTATGCAAGAATTTCAAGCATGATCTTTCACCATCAT